TAATAATAATAATGACCTGACATTTGAGCTGCTTCAGAAATTCAGTGCAGCTACAGAATGAAGTAAAATAAGTATTTTTATTTCTGCCAAGAAAAACTGAGCGCGTCCGCCAACTTTATGGCTGTTTATGTGACAATGTGGGGAACACCCATGGTTGACTTGACTTCATTTGTTAAAGTTTCATTGACCTTACAGGAAGTGGCAGCGTTTCAGCGCAGCACGCGGCCTCATAAAACTCATCATATCGGACATTCAGGGGAAACGAACCCTGAGTGGAGACTGTTCGGAACGCGCCTGCTGCACGAGGAACAGGTGGATTGGAATGATCCGTGCAGTTAGTTGCATTGATCTTATCTAGATTATGTTTATATGAAATGAAAAAGGTCCGCAGTCAGAGAAATGTAAAGGCTTCGTGTGTTTGTGTGCGTCAGTACGGTGGTTTCTGTTTTATATTAACAGTAATTACCCCCATAAAAACGGCGCACCGCGCGTCAAGGCTCTCCAAGAAAGTCAGCGCTGCATCAGCAGAGAGGATCTCTCACAAGTTAATCACTCACAACCACAATTTCCATGTCGGGGCGTCCTCCTCCTTGGTTGCAGGGGCCTTAAAAGCCCATTTGGTCGAAACTAGAACGCTTCATGTGCAGAAATCTTTTTAAACTCGAAAATTTAGATGAACCCCCTCCATCTGTCTGTCTGCAGCATCATGTGGGCCAATGTCTTTTTTTATTTCTCTCCATTTGAAACATTACAGCTTATCTGCAATGTCTCTGCACAGCTATGAACGTAGACTACAACATTTGTGTTTGGTTTGTTAAGCAGAAGGTGCCAGGAAAAAATAAAAATAAACGAGACCTTCATTGCAATTAATTAAGACAGGAGAAGACACGTTTTGGCTGCGATCTGAACGCAACTCTGGCAGTGACTTATGACTGAAGGAAATCTTGATTTCATTCTAGAAGTAAACATCTTTTAAGAATAACTTTGTAACATGGTAATGGTTTTCATCACTCACGTGCCTGATTACAGTGTGTCTTGGTGGCCAGAAGTTGGATATTGTTTAGCAAATTCCGTTTCATAGATAATGATAATTTCAGATAATATCAAAACCATAGCATGGCACACTGGCTGAGCAAAAAGAAAAAAAAAGAAAAAAAAGAAGACATAAGTGAAAGGTGAGTCTGATGCTTGTTTAAATAAACAACTACATTCCCACTGGGACATTGATTTTGACTAGAACTTTAACTGACAAACACTTCCTGATGCACAAACCACATAAAAATACATTATATTTAGTACCACCACTCACAAACAGAAGTGTCACAGGCCTGTCTGGAGAGCTGTTTTATATCAGAGTTGGGATTTTTATGAGCTCTAGTGAAGTATATTTTGCACTGGAAATGCTTCCCAGGTTGAAAGAAGCTTTGGCAACATGAGGTGTACCTCAACAATACACAAGGGTCAGTTTATAGTTCAGAAGGCCTCACTATAAACTGCATGCCTACAGTACCAGGCCCATACTGAGCAGATTTAATATTTCCCCTGTCATCATCTCAAAATTATATTTCAGTTTTAACTTGTTGACTTGAACCTGCCATCCAGTAAACCACTGCTAATGCTTTYGATGGCAAGATAATTGTGCTGATTTTTGGCCCAACTTTGCCCCAACCCTTAAAGATGCTCCAAATATTGTGATGGTTCAGAATCTGATGAGATATTCCTGCTGTGTGTGGTGTGTTCAGAGTGATCTAGTTGATTCAGATGGACGTCAGAACCTCTCCAATCTCAAATCTCGGATCTTCACCATGTTGAGTAGTCTTGGTCCGATATCCCAGCATGGGTGGTGCTCCCCAAGGACAAACGAGCTCGCAGCCTGCTGAATGTGACGTGTAGCTAATCAGAGAGTGAGGTGACGGAAACACGAAAGAGAATCCAAAACACAGAAGATGTGACAACTGCCATGGTGCACCAGAAAGTTCAATGGACGTCAGACACGTCTTTTCGTTTTGTTTTTCTGTTAAAAAATAGTCCACTAACTACGGCCATTGCTTCTTTCTCATCTGTCATGTTTATTTACGCTGAACTCAGGTCTGATCTTGACAAGTTCTGTGAGATTTGCCATCTGACATCTGAATGTTTAAGAGTAAAATCTGTTTGTGTGTGGTGTGTCGTCTTTTGACATGTACACCATACAATTTATGGCAAACCTGTTGTATACACCATTTTTATAGTCATGTGTGGGGTCTCTCAGTCTTTGAAAATCAGTTGACAATCTTGCCTCGTGAACTACACATTAGGAAAAAGTGTTTGTTGATCTAAAGGGATGATTTAAAATATCATTTTCTGTCTCTCCAACAGCAAAGGGACTTCAATTCTTTCCTGTGGAGAGTAAACCGAATGCCTCCTCACCCGCCTGCTTACTTGTTTGGTACCATCCACGTGCCCTACACCCGAGTCTGGGACTTCATCCCTAACAGCTCCAAACAGGCTTTCCACAGCAGCAAGAATGTTTTCTTTGAGCTGGACCTGACAGACCCACTGACCATCTCCAAACTGACCAGCTGCCAGCTGCTTCCCCATGGAGAGAACCTGCAGACCCTGCTACCTCCAGACCTATACTGTCGCCTCAAACGCCACCTGGACTACGTCAAGCACATGATGCCCTACTGGATGACGGCTGACCAGAGAGGCCGGGGCCTGTATGCTGACTACTTGTTTAACGCTATTGCAGGGAACTGGGAGAGGAAGAGGCCGGTGTGGGTGATGCTGATGGTCAACTCACTGACGGAATGGGACGTGCGGTCCAGAGGGACACCGGTGTTGGACTTGTTTTTGGCTCAAGAGGCAGAGCGAATGGGAAAAACGACAGGGGCAGTGGAGCGGGTGGAGGAGCAGTGTCACCCCTTGAATGGACTAAACTTCTCTCAGGTAAGAAGATATCACATGAGTTTTTTCCCCCCCATGGTTCACAGTTTGTACACAGCTTGAACATCTGGTGAACTGAAAATCCAGACAAATAAGTAGAATGAGCAAATTATATTTATCTTTTGATTAGTATCAAAACTGTGAAAAAAAAGCAAGTTAGGCATCACGGTCTACAATAAAACTTGAGTGTATGCACAAATTGTTTGAGCTGCATCTCTGAAAGAACTAGATAAAGTGTGAGAAGATACTATGAGACAGGGGCATCAAACTCATTTTCACCAAAAGCCATATGGGTGTTATGGTGGCCCTCAAGGGCCAGCTGTAATTAACTTTGCCGTTTTGTGTTTAACTAAACACTAAATATCACGTTCTTCATCTCATTGCTACAGCTGACCATCATTAACAATCACTAACTGATCTACATGGTGTTTTGTGCATAGAAACAGCGTTTAACATGTCCTCTTATAAACACTAGAGATGTGATGTTCACAAATGATTCAGATGTTTTGAATGGCTTCTTACAACGAATAATAGGAACCGAGTTGTGGACAGTAAAGAGCCATTTGTTGTTTATTTTTTCCTCGTTATCCAAAGAAACAACTGCTCCTTCTTAGTTTTTTCATGAAAACTGGGCAGAACCGTGGCGTATACCAGCTCAGGGGGAAGTGGGGAGGCAGTTCTTTTTGACAATACACATTGTTTTGCCCATGTATCATCACATACACCATACATGATTATACATTTCAAAGAAATTTTTATCCCATCTCTAATAAACACTGAAAAGCACTATGTGTACAACTGACTAAATGTGAAATAAATAACACAAAAATACTATTAAAAGTAAAAGTAAGAGAGTTTTAATTTTTTGAGTTGTGTTAAGTAGCTGGCGTCTTGAATTAAAGAACTCGCCACTATCTGACAGGGAATTCCCAATGGAGGGGTGTTCCAGTGTAAATTTATTCCCACGTCCCAGTACAACTGGGACTAGGGTTGGGCAATATTGGCAAAAAAATTAATCACGATTAATTGTGGTATTTAGCCAATAACGATTAATTTGACGATTAATCCTCTGGAGTCCCRGGRCACCCTTATTTCCTCGTCACATGACCAATTTAGTGGGAAAGATTTGCTCTTTGTAAAAAATTTGTTCCAAATTGTGTGAAAATTACAGACTTCAGGCTATACATCATATTTTAAATTGTGTTGATGGATAAATAAATTACAGAATTTTATTTTTAATGTTCATCATATTTGAAGCAAAGAGGAGCATCGAGCAGACTGACCGGAGTAATCCCCAGTCAGTCTGCCTGGTGGCATTAATCGTAATAATAGTCAAGTGCCAAAAAACGATCGATTAATGTTTTTCTGACGATTAATTGCACACGATACGATTATGCCCAACCCTAACTGGGATGCAGTAAAGGTGGCCAGAGCAAATTCAGTGAAATGTAAATTTTACATAGCAAAATTTCCAGACTAATTTTCAACCTCCACCTAGTGCTGGGATGCAGCCATTATGGATAAAAAAATCTACATGCATTATAGGAAATGTAGTTTATGGTTAAGGCTGGCTTTAAAGCAGATACGCTTATTTTAAGACATTACTACTTTTTTGAAGGTCTCGCYGGCCACATTTTGTCCCCGATCCTTGAATTTGACACATGTGCAATAAGTGTCTGTGTGAAGACAGTTTTATGCTTTATGATTATGGATGTCCTTCCACATTCGTAAACAAACCACAAAACCTGTACAAAGGGTATCAGCAGAAGCAAAAGGGCAGAAAAAAAAAAAGATTGATGAAGATGAAGAAAACAGAGATCATCTCTCCATTTTGCCAACTGGCTCTCGATTACTGAGCTTGGACAGGAGACCTAAAGATGAGTGAGACACGCTAATTAGTTGATGAGTAAAGCACAGGGAATACATCCAACTTTAATTTCCCATATGATGATAAAAGATAGGAATTTGTCTATTTACAGAGTCAGTTAACGTGATGGGACTGGAGACTCTTTGAGAGTGTGGGAGGTTGCTGTAGAATGAGGCTTGACAGCAAGAGGGAGACGCTCGGCACTTTTAACATGTGTGCAGCATTACTTGCAAAAAAGTCACACTATTGCCATGCAAACTCAACACAGGCACATTTATGGTGTGCTGCAACGCAGTCTGTGGTCGGGGTGGGGTGTGTGTATGTGTGTGTTTAGGGGGGCGAAAGTCCATGTGACAGCACAGGGGGCTTTGCGGCTAATTTGAGAGGCAGCGGGTTTCGAGTCTCTCCACTTTCATCAGTACCTCCTAACTATGCTGTCAAAACGGCACTGCATGCACATGCCAAGGAGCTTTACTGACTCTAGAAATAAGCTCTGCAAGGCAAACAGTTTTAAATTCTAATACCTTTGGCTGGACTCCATGCTGAAAGATCTGTTATGTATGTAGCCTTGCCATTTTTGTTTTACCAGTAGTTCATCTGCTTAGTCCTGATTTGGGAAAAGAAGAGTCTTGTTTAGGAAGTAGGCCTCTCTAAAATCCACACAAAGCAGGTTATAGATTACTGAAAATAAAATACAGTTAAATTGAATAAAACAAATAACCTGAAAATTTGCCCAGTTCAAGCACAGGCAGCTTTGAGCTCATGAGCCCTGACCCCTCTTGTTTCCAGATATGTATAAGAACAATGCAGAGCTGTGCTGAAACTGACATGGAAACCATTATTCTCAATTACAATAATGCGTGGTTTAATCTGAACACCATGGTTGATTGGATCCCTCCACGCTCGACTGTAACAATGATGAGGTCAGGAGGATGGATAGACCCGGAGTCAAAGGGAAATTGTGTGGGTGCAGAGGASAGCAAAGTGAAATGCCAGAGAGGGAAAGTCAAAAGACAGACGTTGACTGGAGGATAGATCGAGTGTGGTGTAGAAGCAGCTGTGAGGTTGAAAATGGGAGACCGATGTGCATCGTTGCACTGCTAACATTAATCTGAAACACAAGGACAGGGGATCTGAATTTGGAAGGAATCCAAATCTTCCACAAAGACYCAGATTCTGTTCCTAAATAAGAAGTAAATGCCTCAAATATGCTGTAATTCAGACATTACATATAAGCCTATAGATGACAGTGAATCAGTAAGTTTCTCACATGCATCTGGTCCTAGTAGTGCCTCTGAAAAAAATAATAATAAAAAAAACAAAACTGGAAGCAGTTAGTGATGAGTTTGGCAAAGGTTTGTCTAACTCTAATGTTTGCCTGTTGCTGGGATATCTATGACCTCAAAGAAAGTTGCATTTGTTCAAATGTTTGCTTAGAACAGCAAAAAGAGAGAAGTGACAAGCTTGAGATGAATCAACAGATAAGATTATGGGTAAATGATAAATGGACTACACTTATATKYRGCTTTATCAAGCCCCATGGGACCCCCAAAMCYCTTTACACTACAGTCATTCACCCATTCACACACTGATGMTGGTYTGTTATATTGTAGCCACAGCTGCTCTGGGACACACTGACAGAGGGCTGCCATGCACCGGTGCCASTGGACCCTCTGACCACCATCAGTAGGCAAGGRGGGTGAATCTTGCCCAAGGACACAATGGCTGAGACAMCTGGAATGGGGGATCAAACCAGCAACCCTCCGGTTACAGGACGACTCCCCTAACCACTCCACCACAGCTGCCCAGGGGTGTCCAATCCTAGTCCTTCAGGGCCACTATCCTGCATG